AGGGAAAGACAAATATAGCAAAATGCATTGTACTACATTTTCCTATCAAAAAGTAATTATACACCAAGTTTTGATTCTGTTTAACTGCAGTAAATGTTACAATCTACTTGTTTTACTGATTTTCCTTTTGGGGAATCTGCCTACTAAATGAGTAAACTACATATTAAATACAATATTCTCAACCAAAAAGACAATACAAGGTGCACAAAACAGCAGTTCTGCAAACACGACTGACTTGAAAACTTAATTTTTGTATGCTCATTGGGAGAAAGCTAAGCTGAAATCAAATTAGTTTATTATCTTATAAAATTTTAAATTAGAATTTTAAACAACGAACAGTTAAATATTGTCAACATGCTACATCTCAAATCACAAGTACTGTTTAACCACTAGTCTCTCATTCTAAGTAAGTGCGTCAATTAAAAACACACACCATAAAATGTTAAAGATTGTCAGGCTTTGACAAATGTATTTTTATCAAACAGTAGGCAAATTCAAACCAATGCACATCTTCAGTGGGGAGAAAAAAAAAAAACACACACACCAAAGAGCCTGAAAAAACCCACACTTGTAAAAAATAGGGTAACGGATTAATCCCACGTCATCCTCTAGCATATGGCTATGTCTTGGGCAATAATCAAAATCCTTCCCATTTTTAAAATGGGCTACCAATTAATAAAAATATTCTTCCACAAGTAAAATATCATTTACAATGGCACTGACATTTTAAAAGGCAGGAAAAAAGGAATTACACATTTATGGATAAATTTCTTGTTTGTTAAATCAAACTTTATTGATAAAATGGAATTCAAAATATTTTACTTGGAACAGCAGCAGACCCAGCCAATCAGGATTGTAAAAATGCTGCAGACTCCTACTGTATGTAGAAAGCTGCCTGTTCATGCTCAGTGATTAGTAGTTTCAGGTAAGGGTTAATGAAAAAAGAGGTGCAAAGAATCAAGGCATTCTAATGCCAAGGTTCGTACGCGTATGAACATGACACTATTAATAGGGCATGATTTAACTCCCACTGAAGTCAAAATCAGAACTCTCTTTAACTCAATGTGAGAGCAGGAGTGCATCCAAGAAAACAATACATGTTTGTTGAAGAATGTGCACTACTTTTACTTATTTTTCCATTGCCAAGCAAATTCACACACTGTAATTTCTGGTAAGTTGCCCACAAGTTCATCTTTCATATTAAACAAAAGGTTATCTTTACAGTTTTGTGCACCTCTTGAGCACCTAGCTGGCTAGGCTGCTGCTCCTTGCAATCCAAAACCACAACATGAATTCAAAGGGATATATATTGTTGCATCACACAAGCCAAACATTTCTTCTAACCTTTATAGTGATTTAAAGCAGTTCATAATTAAATATGAGCATTTTGTACAAAGACAATTGCACTTTACAAAAACAAAATCATACAACATAAATTGCTGGAGTCTGATTTACAACATGAATTATGGTTTGAAATCACGTTTACAGAAGTCTGTTTTACAAAAAAGATCAGTTCCTGGGCTAGATGTCGTACTGCTGTAGTCGCTCTCACCGACACATCATATTCCCTTCTTTAATTATGGTTGAGGATGGATGTTAAGAAGGGTCACTGAGGCTGGGCTGCACTTTCATTTGAAGGATGAAACGTGAACTCCACAGCTAGATGAGCAGTTTTACCACATATCATCAGTTGAGGCAGAATCCTTAAAGAAAAAAGAAGGAACCCTTTAAAGTCTGGAGTGCCCATAGTTACAGCAGTTTCTGGATAATCCAGACTGAAAAGGGTAAAGACTTAAATCATTTCAGGAGTCCGTTTTCTCTCCCCTTTCAGAAATAGCATTGAAGTATCTAAAAACCACATATGCTTAATTAACGAAGCATTAGTACCAAGACATTTCAAAATCTGACCAAGAGTTTTTTAACAGCCTTATCAATCCTCAAAACAATATCCTAGGAACATTATTCAAAAGCATTCCCAGAGTAGTTAGAAGTAACACAGAATGGATACACTTACTGTACAGGTGCTTAAAAGAGCAGGATGCGCCTCACGCCATTTGTTATTACATTACCATCTTTTGTGTTTTCAGCCCTCCCTCACTGCACAGGAAGATACAGTCAGCAACTGATACCCTGTTATACTCAAGATCAATTTTAACACGTACAATTTAAGGTTACAGAAGTATAGTTTGGGCAACTGCAGGAAACCCTGATTTTGGACGGTAATAAAAACGCAAGGAGAAAAAAAACTACTATGTAACAAAAATATTGGAAATAGAGACATGCCATGCTCTAAATCATAACTGTATGACCACACTACATGGCATTACAACCATGCATCCAATACCTAAATATCCCTAAAATCTGGTCCATTTAGGCCCACAGGCAACAGTGGACTTTGTGTAACTACCACCCCCCTGAGAAATGTTTAACTGATTCGTGCTATCAGTTAAAAAAACATCCTAGTACAAATTGAATATTTAGTTCTAGTAAGTGTTTTTTAATCAGTTTGCATTTGTGTCACGTCTGTTTCCTCTTCCCTTGCTTAGACTGTTCTATATTCAGCTTTCTCTAACTGCCTCATCAGTTGGGTACGTAGGTTAACACCACAACTAAGAACTGGGACCACAGCTTGGTAGCTGAAGCAACAGCTAAGTCGGTAGCACAGGCATGAGAGGAAACTGCTTCTGTACAGAAATCTTTGGTTGTTTCAACATTACCTGCTACCTTCCCCTAAGTAATTAAGGGTCACGACGGGCTTTAACAACAGCGTATGCTGGTGCTTCCACAGCTACACTTCCTTGTCATTACTAAGATTGCAGGGGGAGAAATACTACTTCTCTTTAAAAGCACCGCCTTATTGATTCCTCCTAGAGAAGAGGCGCCAATTAAGTCTCTAGCAATGCCACATATGACAATCTTAGCACTAAAGTTCTGCACCCTTCATTCAAACTTGCACACAGAATTCATTACAAACCACAAAGAAGAACAGTTGGCACGGAGGTGTGGTAAAAAAAACCCAAAACAACAAAATCATTAAAGTTACCCTTTGCAAAAGTACCACCTCCAGTTTTTTCTTCAAGACCAGAAGTAGCAAAGGAGAACAATTATATGAAAGACCAAAATGGTTGTGTGTGTTTGAAGTGTAAGGATGAAGAATAAAAGCAGTAGTGAGTAAAACTGCAGGAGCTGCATGCCAGCTATTCAGTACGCAAATTTCTGTATCCAAGTTGCCAACATCATCACAAAACAAAGAAGTTTGTGTACTGTACGTTTGTAGAACAGTAACATACTATGCAATGTATTTTGAAGGTAAAGCATCCTCTTTCAGCCACTACTTAGGAATTTTAACGCTAAAGATGTAATGACAACTGCCAAATAAACTAGCACCCAGTTGTAAAGCCAACACACAATTCTTTGTACCCGGAGACATTTCACTTATGTCACATCTAAGCATGTAAGTAATTTTTGCTGACAGGTAAAGGATAAATTTAACTACTTTATGAAATAGAGCACTTTTGGTGACAGAACGTTGTTTGCAGTGATCTAACTGCAACTGGGATCACTGTTCACAGCTTAGAGTTTTGTTCCCTGTGCTGCCCCCCTCCCCCCCGCCAAGCAGTGGATTCATGTCCCTCTGATCACTGACATGTAAGAACCTAAACTGTATGCCTGCTGTAAGATACTCCATGCTTAAGAATAAAAGTGCTTATGCAATCCATTTGGAAAATTAATATATCCTTAAAGCTGATAGTTACAAATATATTTAATCTGTAAGTACAGCTTTTTCCTTTGTGATATTTGGGGAAAAAGGCCTCCCATAAGGGTGGGGGGGGAAATACATTACTCTGCACCATTTGGCAGGAAAGCATTTGGAAACCCAGGCAGGATTCAAATAATGAAACTCCAGAAGACAAACAAATCAACCATACCAGAGTTTTGAGACTATGATCAGCAGAAGGCAGTAGAAAACAAATTACAAAATATAGTCCAAAGAGCACAACATTGCATTACTTCTTTGAGGGAAAGGGTCTTTTAATAAGAACTAGCAATATTTTTCTTTACACATTACAGTATTTTTCTTTACAAAACTGCTAAAATAATTGGGGTTGGGGAAAAGATAACGTAAGAGAAAGGATACTTACAGTATCATCATTCCTGTAGGGGTTCAGTCTGTTATAAACGGCTTCAATCACACTCCGTCTAGAGCAAAAAAAACACAAACCCACAAGATTTTAAGGTTGTGTCTCTTTTTTTTTCCCTTAAAGTCCAATTCCCTAAGTACAATTTTAATTTAAAATGCAAACTTTAAAAGGTTTTAAATTCACAGAACCAAGTTTACTGCAAGTTAGCACTGTCATTAAACACTGAACACTGTATCCTTTAAAATTTTTAGGTTCAAGAAAAACAAGGCAGAATACCACACAGAGTTCAGCAGAAGAGCACAATCTCACATTCAGATGAGGCTGTGATGCTGCTTGGTGCTGTCTCTTGACTTTGAAAAAAGGGCGTCAAAAAACTTGATGGACACTGAATGCCCTGGTCATTTGTGTGTCTGATGAACACTGCAGTTGTGCTACATGTATTATGGCACCTTCATAGGGGAATAGTGTTTTCTGGATGCACAAAAATTGCATTCTGAAGTACATTTTTGTTCATGTTACATTCTGAAATGTACTTTCCATGTGCAAACCTGGAAAAATTATTTCTGAAGCAATATTCTTACAATAATATGTCCGCTACTCTCCTGCAACTTTTCTCAAAAGAATTTAAACCCCAATAACAGTGCTATGTATTGTATCTTCAGACTGAGAAGAATTTTGTCTGGTAAAAAATACTAAAAAATTAATTCAAGCATCTTGACAGTTTCCTCCTTTAACAAAAAATTGCCTGGCATATTTAAGATAGCTTGTAATTAACTTTTGTCTCTGAGATTCTTGACTTTTCTAATATTGATAGAAAATATATTGATAAAATATTAATAGAAAAATTGCAAACACATAAACAAGCAACTTTTTTTTTTTTTAAACACACAGTGAAAAGGTTTTCTTGAAAACTGATACTCAAAAAAACTCCCAACGTGAGGCTAAAGGAAGAGGAAGCCTTTGCCTTACCCAGCATATAAGGAAACAACTTCGGAGGGGGGAGGAGGAAGGAAAGAGGGGAGTAAAAGACAGGAATTATAGATCGGACTTTAAAAGTAACTTTCTTCCAGATCCCCTTCTGCAGAACCAAGTATGAGGAAGGAGCAGACTACAACTGCGATACAAAACAAACTTCAAAGAACAACCTTTTAACTGCTCATGAATGCATGCAGAGCAATCACAAAGGAGTGCATTAGAAGAAAAAAAGGCAGATGATAGGCTTTATAATCATCCCATAACACTGAAAAGTCAGGAACTACCATGCAGCACAGTATAAACATCATAATGAATGATTCTAGGGCACGGAAGAGGTTGAATTTAAAGCAATAAAAACAAGCAATTACACACAAGTACACTGCACATATGAACTGGAAAGCTTCCCTTATCTTTCGAGAAATAGGTATCTTTGATTCTAAATAAAGGCAGGTTTCTTGAAAAGCATTATTTTTCTTCCAAACTGGCACTAGTGTTTTGAGTTACACTAACATCCAATTAAATCCATACTTCTATCAATCCCTATCAAAACTAGTATCACTAAGACACTAAATCCCACAAAAGTCAGTCACTTCAGCACTTACTCACAACCATCATGCTACTACTATCCAAAGGAGATTGAGAAAAACCAATTTGTATGCCGTATTCATTAGTAACTGACTCATCGATACTTCAAGACTACAGCAACACATCCTAAATAGACGCTACTATATATAAAATTGCCATCTATTCTTTTCCTAGTCAAACAGTTCATATAAGAATAATTTTGTTTTGTAGAAGTCATTTTTACAGTTCAGTTACCGTTTATTCAATTACATACCCACAGTCTTCATGTTTGGTGTTAACATTACAAAAAAAAATCATAATCCGAAGGGTTAAAAATATAGTCCGCACCACACGTGCCCAATCCATTCTAACACAGCACAAGATCATGAACAATATTTTGAACCAAAAAGCACTTTGGAGTGCAAATGAGCTAAGTGCATTGCTTCCTTAAAGACTGAACATCAATTTGAGAAGTCACAGAGCATCGACACTGAATGCTTCAAGGACAAAGCCAGCCTATATAAAGCTGTAAGTTTCACTTCCCACTTTTCTTTTTTGATAGACTTCTATCTAGTTTTCAGATTTGTCACAAGCAGAGAGATACAAAAGCAAACTCTTAAGCAATTACAACATTGCTTTAGCTACAGACAAGAAGAGAAAGCTGCCAAGCAAAACATCATGTGCATATCACTTCTTGTCGAAGTGTAGAACTACATATCCAAGTAACTACTAAAGTCAGTGCATTATTTTTGCATCTTCAAATGTAACCTCCCACCCAGAAAACCCAGTTAATTACAAAACCCAGACACACTCAGGCCACCCTTAAAAAACCCTCAGCCCTTCCCAAAAATACAGTTTGACATTCAGTTTTAGTAGTGATTCAATTAACTCTGTTCTTATGCTTGTCCTTTTCATTCAGAACAACCAAGTAATAAAAATTGGAGAACAGATCATCATCTTTTGTCCTGTACCCTTCTTCCCTCCCCCCACTTTTAAGAGTGGCCTTACAGTTCAGTTTCGATTTAGATCAAAAACCACATTTACACTGATGTGAACTCACTTGCTTGCCAATTCACCCCCTGGCGGGAGGTTTGGGATGCTCTCAGTTGCTAACGTACGCATCACGTGGACTAAGTCTGGGACTCCTTCACCCTGCTTCTTTATGATCTCTGGGAATCAGAAGTACTTTTTTTGTAAGTGCAGTCCAAATTTAACTTAAAAAGATTGAAACACTCAGTTTTATAAAAAGGCAGTTTAACTTCTGTTAAAATATAAATA